TGTAGGAAGCAGCTGATATCCCGACTCTGGCTGTTCCCTTAAAGGAGAAATATACTTTAATGCCTATAGGCTACACACAGACTCTTAGCAGTTAATGCAGGGGAGAACTTAGGGTATCACAGTGAAGCTGATGCACAGTAAAGCTGGTGATTAGGTCAGAGAGGCGTCAGTGCGATTTCTTGCGAGGGGCGTAATTAGAAAGATCGCTAGCATTTCAGAAGATTAAAAGCGCCCCTAATGAAAATGTGCATTTCACATTTAAATAAGCCATCAGGAGCTATTGTCCTTGTCAGTGATGCTATACTGTTGGACCAAATTGCTTTGTATAGGTTGTTTTAGCTTTCTCTTCTCAAGCCCCTTCCTGTTTTCCTTCCATCTTTTCCAGTTGATGTTCGTTTGCCATTTCAAGCTGAAATGTTCATCCAGAACGTCATCCTTGTGTTCTTCTGTGTGGGAGTGATTTCTGGAGTTTTTCCCTGGTTCCTGGTGGCAGTGGGGCCCCTCGTCGTCCTGTTCACAGTTCTGCATGTCGTGTCTAGGTAAGCGTACCACCAACTGCTTTAACTAAAAGTAGAGATACTTTGATCTGTTAGTAGGGACGTGTAGTTCTTCAAGTATACGTGCATCAATATTGTGGTTACATATGACGGCTGTACGTGTTGCTTAAAACTGTTTCTTTCCTTCCAGAGTTTTTATTCGAGAGCTGAAGCGTCTGGACAACATCACACAATCTCCATTTCTGTCTCACATTACATCTAGTATACAGGGTCTCTCCACAATCCATGCCTATCACAAAGGACAGGAATTCCTGCACAGGTCAGTCCAGATATTCAGCAAAGAGCAGTGGTGCACAAAGCAGTGTGTGAGAGGCTTATTTGCAGAAAGATTTATTAGCAGGTTCTGTAGTTGACAGCATACACCGACTCTAATGGTGAAAGTTATTTTGGGGGGAAAAATAGAGGGAGAGGGAGAGAGGGAATGGGAAGGGAAAACTCCCCAGTGGCCGATCCGGAAGAGCAGTGGCAGAGTCTCAGATGAGTGACCTCTGGGGGTTCTCTCCAGTGCAGCAAGTAGTGATGATGAGGGCAACTCTTTGGTCCTGGTTTTCTGACTACTATATACTTTTTCATCAGGACCTGCTCATAACTCCTTTTTGATTGTTTCTGCTTGTAATGCTATTAGTGTTTGTTGGAGCATGCTAATTAAGCGTCAGTGTTGCATACTGATGAGCTGTTAGGTCTCTGTGCACCTGTATAACTGGATAGTATTTATCAAGTGTTTAAGTCACTGTGATCTACCTTGTGCATTGTGCTTTTTTTTTCCTAGTATAAACTAAAATCTGCAAGACAAGAAGTGAAGGAAAGTGAGAGGTTTCTCAGGGCAGTGGTGGTTGCTTCCCGTGAGAATGTGCCGTAACAGTATCAGAGTTTTGCAGGTGCAAGGTCATCAGAAAAATAGCTTGGGAACGCCAGGAAAACTGCCACAGCAGCTTAGATAGAAGGTTACAGAGTTGCAAATAGCAGTCCATTAGCATAGCTGATGCTAGGGTATTAAGGCCCTTCAGGCCTTTTGTGCAACAATGGTTGGTGTGAAACTGTGTTGCCGGATGAGAAAAGCTAGTTTGTTGGCTTTATAAATCTCTCAAGCCATCTTCTTTTAAATGTACTTTCTCAGCTCTGCAGGGTCAGGATTGTAAATCAAATGGTTATTAATGTGTTTTAATTAATTAGTGTCCTATTGCATTTACTGTAACTTTATTTTTACACTTGTGTGTAAAATAGCACATATTCTCTTCCTACTCCACTGCTGCTTTTATATGTGGAGTAATTTGTAGCTATTGGGCGTCCTCAGGAAGATCTCGCGTAGGTTGTGTGGTGAAAGTGCCTGTAATGTCCCTAAATGCTAATTCACCTCTAATAACTTGTTATACACAAACTTATATCTGAGAGTTTGAGATAACTAGATATCCTACATTATTCAAGAGTGTTTGTAAATACTTTTAGGCCTTGGCTTGAGACTTTTTGCTAAAAACCAACTGGTCTTTCTACCCTAAATTCTGATACTGGAGCAGAGGTGAAAACAGCTCTGCTATTCGTAGAATTTCAGGCTTGTGGCAGTCTACTAATATCTCCTGTATTTGCTCCAGGTATCAGGAGCTGCTAGATGACAATCAGGCACCGTTTTACCTGTTCAGCTGTGCAATGCGCTGGCTGGCTGTACGACTGGACATTATCAGCATTGCTCTCATTACAACCACTGGCCTTATGATTGTCTTAATGCATGGCCAGATTCCTCCTGCCTATGCTGGGCTAGCTATCTCGTATGCTGTGCAGGTGAGTTTATCTGTATGCTGTAATATATGATGTCTCAATTTAATGTAGTTAACACTAATCAAGACCCCAGTGAAACTTTCCTTAATGCACTGTGATAGAAAAAGATACGTTTAGATCTTTTTGGTAGCCAGGGGAAAAAGTGATTCAGGGTCAGGACCTTTTGCTAGCAGTCCAGGACAAATGAGGAGGAGCTAGGTACTTCACGTTGTTATTTTGAGGAACTACTCCTTTCTAAATGCTGAAGTAGGAAGCATGTGAGGCTCTTTATAGCATGTTGCACGCTTTTCCTGGATGTTTCCAGAGTTTAAGTTCATGGTCCGTTAGATGTCTGCCAAGCGGATGTCGTAATGCCTTCTAGTGTATTCTTTGTGATGTAGCTGCACAGCACAGCACAGCACGCAACATCCAGTACCTCAGCTCTGTGAGTTTTTACGCTTTGGGGCTCAGTATGCCCGGCTTAGATCTGTTGTTTGGCCTTTTCTGCCTCCTGGTGGTAATAAGGAGAAATTGCAAAACTTGCATTGCCAATAGTCTAAGTTGTTTCTTGTGGGAAACGGTTCTAAGCTGCTGGCTTTTCAAATGATTCATAAATTATTATCGCTTTAAAGCGGATTAAACTTAAGCGCTCTAATGAAAGACTACTTTGCATCAAGGCATCCAAGCTGTATCAAGTACTGATTAAGTTAGTCTCTTTATACAATAATAAATCCCATCACAGCTCTCTCAACTTTGGTTTGTTTCTTCTCATCGCCCCAGTTAACAGGGTTATTCCAGTTTACAGTCAGACTTGCCTCAGAAACAGAAGCTCGCTTCACCTCAGTGGAGAGGATTGATCACTACATCAAGGTACGACAATGATGCATTCGACTGCCTGTTGTAAAATTTCTTGCTACTGTTTATGTTGCTGGCATAAGGTAAAAGGAAGTTGGCTGTGGTCTGTCTTCAAACAGAAAGTGTGCTTCTGATCTTACACTATAGGCAAAAGTGTTTGCAACGCTGTAGAGTGGATTTGTTTTATGAAGTATGTATATAGGCGTTGACAGGGTAAATGGAAAAGGAGTTGCTTGGTTGGTAACTAAGCTGACAAGGTTTTTGCCTGACATTACTCAAGTTAAATATGGATATTGAAAGTTCGTGGATACTCTCGAGAAAGAGTGGGGTTTGTGTGTGGAAGGGGTAACTGGGAATTAAATACAGCCTTTTACAATAAAGGGATGGTGTTCTGGCATTTTCACTTAATTCCAAACTGAATGGAACTACTTTGCTTAAGTACAGTTAGCTGTGTTAACTTGCTTTATGTGGAATTCTGATTCATCCTAATGAGTTGTCTACTTTTCACGCAGCTGTCTGCTATAATGTATTTCTATATTTTTAAAAAGGCATGTCAGGTTAGCCTTTACTTAGCGTGTTGTGTTTGTGAACGTGATAAATGTGCTAAGCTAACTGCATAGCAAGTTGCTGTTACCCTGGTTATCTGCCAACCCTTTGTCCATGGCTAAGATTTGTGTGTGCAGAACTGGGTGTGGGTGAACAAAGCTGGCTTCAGTAAGGAAAGGGGGAGTATCATTTTTTAAGGAGGAAGCCATAAAATGGGTCTGATCTGTAAGGCGGAAAGCTTTTCAGCCTCCCTCGTGTACACACTCCTCAACTCCAGAGGGAGGTGTATCCGTTTGGTAAATCTGGGCTTTTCAGTAGTCGATATTTGCAGACCTTTTTTTAGACTGTGCATGTAATAGAGAATAAAACATGAATTTAATTTTAAGCACCCTCCTATCCCTCAACTATTGAAATCCTCCTGTGGGCCTCTAAGAGGAAAATTTCTACTTACAAAAGATTTTGTGACCATGAGAAGTGACACCTGTGGTTTTGCAAATATTGCCTGGTATCTCCCATTGTGCAGCGATGATGTTTATCACTCCCAAGCCTTCAGTGGCAAAATCTATAGTTGTACAGTTTTACCATCTATGGCTGTGGCTTACTTATTAAGCAACACTTTCCATGATTTTTCTTATTTTGGTCTCCAGACAGCTATTTTATTATGAAACAGTGTGCTAATTTCTTTATAGTGACTATAAAGGAGTTAACGGGCCAGATTCAGCTGGAGATGCTTGCTTTGTAGGTGTTCAAAGCTTATCTCATGCTAGGATTTGTTGTTCGCTCAGAGGCTGCTGGTGCCACATATGGGAAAGTGACCTTGACTCTTTTTAAGTAAGCTGAAGATGCATGTTTGATTTTTCTCCCCCCCCCCCCCCCCAATCTGAGAACTGCTTAGCAAGGAACTTACTAAAGGTCAGAGTGTAACTGCAAAAGCAAATTGTGCAAGGAGCCAAGCTGACTCGATGAGCCAGCAGGACAGGGGACAATGAGGGAGAGAAGGAGGAGGATAACACTGATACAAAACAACTGCTGTGAAAATGCAACGTGTCATGTGGATGCATAGCAGACCCGAGACATGTGACTGTGGCATGGTATAGCAAGCGAGACATAGAAATACTGCAGAGCTAGTGCATCCAGAAGCCATTCAGTCTTTGAAACTCCCCCAAACTCAAAAGAATTGTGCCCATAAATAATTGACTTAAGATAGATTTCAAAATGTATTGCATAAAAACATTGTTATCAGGGCCAGTGTTGTCATCACAGCCACAGGAGGGGAATAGCAGTGTTGAGGGTAACAGCAAACCAGTAAGAGATTGGGAAATCCCTTCTGACTCACTGGGCCAGCATCCAGCCACGCTACTCATCACAAACTGCCATT